CTGCTATATTGTCACAATACAATATGCAGTTCTTTGTATTGCTAATATATTGTTTATATTGGTAGATATTTTTGCAAAGGAACTGTCACCGTTCTATCGGGTAGGTCCCAAGATTCTATCACGTAGCTGTTTGGGCATCTAGGGAAGAGTTCGCCAAACACAATGCTATTATTAACTATTCTATATATAAGATAGAAAGAAGATAACAAACTTGAAGAGGAAAGAATCCTTCTCCTCTTCTACGGTTCACTTCTCTGTTTATATACGTGATTGTTATGGTCCTGCCAGCTGGTAGCTTTCCTTTGCCAGCTGGCAAGCAAACGCGTTGCATAGCAACTGTTTCGATATCATAACTATTGTGACTGATAGACCATTGTACGATCTAGCAGGTCGTGATAGATTCTTGTTTGGCCATGCTAATGACGCTACTAAACAAATAGTGTCATAACACAAAAAAGGAAATAAAGGTAGCAAACGAACGCGTACGTGTTTTATTACCGAGTTGGCTTTTAACACCATCTTAGCCAGACTTTCTTTACTGGTTTTAGTGCATTTCTCATGATACCTTCGACATAACAAGCCGCATATAATTGTACCTCTATATTCTTGTTCTAATGCACCAACAACGCCTATGTTTTACTCTACCGCCCCAACAAAGTGGTTCAGCGACATCTGACGGCGCCGTCGCACAGTCTAGCTCACATTTGCAGGATCAAGACAACAGCCAAACTTCTCAATGCCAGTCGTGGCGACCCGACACACTGTCTACGACCTCCACCCCCAAACCAAGAACGTCATGGGTCTTCTCCCATATGCCGGACTGGGACATCGAAACTAGATATTACAGTCAACGGTCGGGTAAGGAGGAATGGCGCTGCAAGTATTGCGATAAAACGTACTCCTGCTCGGGAGGCACTGCGGCGCCCGCCAAGCACTTGACTGACCCTCCCCCGGATGGCCATGGTCTCCCAAAAGGTGCTCTACGAACAGCCAAAGTCCGGAGTATACGAACAATTATCGAGCAAGCTCGTGTAACAGCGGAAGAGAGCGCCCGAAAACGCCGTCGTCTCAACGATCAATATGGAGACTCCATCGAGCCCGATCAGCTGGAAGTGCTGTACGTTCGGTTCGTTACGGCCTGCTCTCTTCCGTTTCGGCTTGTTGAATGCCCGGAATTTCGAGCCCTATTAGCCTATATCAATTCTGACATCGATACATGGCTTCCAAATACACACCAGACCATCAAGAGATGGATACTGCGGCAGTACGAAGACCAAAAGGAAAAGGTCAAGCAGCGCATCCAGTCAGCAAAGTCAAGGATCCATATTAGCTGCGATCTCTGGACTTCCCCCAACTCGTTAGCAATCCTAGGCGTAGTTGCTCACTATGTCACAGAAGACTGCCAATTAGAACACCACACATTGGCTTTGAAAGATATAGATGGTGATCATGATGGGTCTCACCTTGCTGTGGCTATTATGGATGTAATTGATGACTGGGGATTTGCCTCTAAACTTGGTTATTTCGTGATGGACAACGCCGGCAATAACGACACTATGATAAAGTGTCTTTCTCTTGGTAAGTATAATATTACCGTGCCACCTATTGTTTCAGCTTGACATAAGCACGTAGAGCGACGCAGAGCTAATATGTATCAAAGCCCTTCTACGACAGTACGACATTCGATACGATCCCATAGCCCACCGGCTCCGCTGCCAAGGCCATATTATCAACCTAGCCGCAAAATCATTCCTCTTTGTGACCGATAAAGAGAAGATCGAACGCGACGATTCTGGTTTACATAACGTGACTCTCCAACAAATTGAGGCGTGGCGGCGAAAAGGGCCTCTTGGCAAACTTCATAACTTTGTGGTGTATATTCAGCAGAGTGTCCAGCGCTGCCAAAAGTTTATGGCTATAAGTCAAAACCGCAAGCTTGCGAGGGATAACGATACTAGATGGAATTCATGGTATTCTATGCTACAAGCCGCCTTGCATCTAAGAGATGCTATTGAAAACTATTTTAAAAAATGGGGCGAGGTGAATTGCGCTGGGGACGAACTCTCTGCTGAGGACTGGGCCACCGTTGAAAAGATCATGTCATTTCTAGAGAAACTGAAGATGACAACCAAGGCCCTGGAATCGTCATTCGCCACTCTTGATAATGTGCTCCTAGCCATGGACTTCGTGTTGGCGCAGTTCGAAGTAGGAAAGGAGACGTTTGCAAATGATCCGATTATGGCGCCCATGTACAACTCGGGCTGGGCAAAACTAGACAAGTACTATCGGCTTACAGACGAATCCCCAGCCTATGTTGCAGCCATTGTGCTCCACCCGTCGCATAAATGGCATTATATACATGAGAATTGGAAGAGGGAATGGGTAACACCCTCGAAGAAGCTGGTTGCGACGCTTTGGGACGAGTATAAACCTATAGCGTCACCTCCACTAACCGAGCCACAATCGAACACTACGAACGAGTTCTTACGATGGAGAAATAAGCATCTACAACCGTCTCCGATGACGGACGAGTACGAGCACTACTGCAAATCCGAGCGGGTCTATGGATTCACAAGCGCGTTGACATGGTGGTTAGAGGAAACACAGCAAAAGACGTATCCCAATTTGAGTAAAATGGCAGTGGATATACTGTCGATTCCTGCCATGTCAGCTGAGCCTGAGAGACTCTTTTCCGGGACGAAAATAACCATTACCGACCGTCGAAATCGGATGGGCAGTGATATAATTGAAGCAACAGAGTGCTTAAAATCATGGTTCGGGATACGAGACTTTGAAGGGATGGCATGTTAGTCCGAGTAGCTGCAGTCACGTGTAATATATTGTATGTGTTGTTTTATTGGCAATATGCCAGGATTTTGACAATACAATACAATATGCTTGTTTGTCATATTGCGAAATACAATATGCACCCTCTGGCAATACAATAATATTTCGAGGGTGCTCATATTGCCAATATTGTATTGTTTATATTATTTACCACACTG